AATAAGGAAGCCCCTGCATCCCCGGCTGCAGGACACGCTGCGGCAGGAGGCAGTGCAAGGCAGTGGATGGAGACTTTCAGAAAAACATGGAGAAGAAAGGATTAGACCACCCCCACAAGCTCTGAACTTGCTTCTTTTCCTTTGCTTTTTCTTCCTGCTTTGGCTGCAGGCGGGCCTTCGCAGCCCGGCGGGCTCTTCCACGGGGCGCTGTGTGCAGATGGGGCCAGGCCACAATCTAACGTAGGGTCCCGGTCGCGCTCTCCCTGCAAGCGGCTGCTCAGATCCGCCTGCGCTTTCCTGCGGCTTGCAGGGGAGCTTTTAGGAGGCTTCCCGTGCCCTGGGCCGTCCAGGCCGTCACTGCTGCGAAAGCTTTCAGGCAGTGACTGTTTCCGGGCTACCCCAGGCCTGCAGCAGACGGACCCCAGAGGGAGCAGTGACCCTGCCAGCTGGGCAGCCCCGGCGCTCCCGAGACTTCCTCCAGGTCCTCGGCACAAGGGTCACACTTGCTGCTCCAGGTAGAAGTAGTTGAAGCCCAGCGCTCTCCTTCACTTCCCTGACACACCCTCAAATGGCTCCGAATACCGGTCTAATATTCCCGTGCCCACCCGACCCTGCACGCCCGGCCCCCCAGCCCCTCCTCCCAGATGAACATTCCCCCCTCCCTTCTACACACTCGGCTCCGCCCCTGTCCATCCTCCGGCGCTGGGGATGGGGCCATCCTTATTCTGGAAGTCGTAGTAGCTGTACTCTGGGGTCTAGGAGCCCCAGAGGGAGGCCGCTCTCCCACCTTCCCACCCCCTGTGACCCTGCTCTCCCTGACTCCCTGCACCCCGACCCAAACCCCTCACAGGCTGTGCCGCTCACACCCGCCCCAGCCCTTCTGTGAAGCCCCGCCCCCAGAGTCCTGGCCCGGAGTTGCAGCCCTGCCCCTCCGACCCACCACACTTCGTAGTGTAGCCCCGCCCCGCCCCGCAGCCCCGCCCCCAGAGCCTTCCCCGGCAGTGTAGCCCCGCCTCCAGCACCCTCCTGAGCAGTAATAGCCCCGCC